TTTTTTGGCTGGATTTGTTTAGCAAAAGGATGTCTGTATGGGATTTTGCTTGATTATGGATCATTAGCCAATGAACTTTGACATTTTGGCAATATAGGTAACCTGGAAATGGTTTTGATTTGTCCTGGTTTCAAGATCAGACCTGCTCTTGGGCATGGTTTTATGCATGCTATAATTTTTTCCCCCGACAACTTGTTGTACTCATTGATGAGTTAACCAATTAATGAGGCTAATATGAGGAACAACAGTAGTGATAAACTAGATCACATCAGCGGAAATTCCAAAACCCTAGGCACGACAAGATCTGAAGACGCAATGGAGCAAGTCCTCTCGCTGATGTCAAACCAAGAAATATCTCATTCATGACTGAGGTTACCATGTCGCATGCAAGACACGGTAATTTTTACATCGCACTGGCAATAGAAGTGTAGCTTCTTTCACGCGGATCTTGCTACTCAGTGTGAAAAGGGTTGTCGCTCATAATCGATTTGCCACCCCAATAATAAGCCATTTGAGTGGGCTATTGCCACGTGTCGTCTTGCATGTGTCAGAATTCTTGAAGCCCGCCACGTGTCCCGAGAATTATTATTTTTTTACTTTTCACCTTCTATAAATAGTCGTACCTTGTATTTACAAATATGATTAAAATCTTGAAAAAAAACTCTCAACGCTATTCGGAGTAATAAAAACACAACTGTATTAACGCAAACATTTAAATCTCTTTGTCGTGTTGTCCTTAGATTTCCTTTAACACTACTCTGTCGCAGTCTTGTTTGTGTCAACCATCAACAAATTGGCGCTAGAAGGAGGTTGAACCTTCAATTGTCGTTTTTCTAATTAATGTCGTTATGATATCTTAACTCCAGATTAATCCACTATGTCGTCATCAAATCACAAAAAAAATCACTAATTACCACCAAGAAAATCACCCCTCTACATACGTTAACATGAACCAAATACTAGGGAACTCCAATTTTGTCAAGGAGTTAACCGACGTTTTCTCCCAAATCCTCCATAACTCCTCTCCCAACAAGCCCACTTGTCATCCCAAAACCACACATAAAACGGGTCTGATGGGGCCGTCTGCAGGTGTGCACATTCGACGCGTGGTGGTGTGGCTGTTGAAGCTGATCACGCTGGTAGATGCGTTTTCTTCCGATGGTGGTGCTCACCAAGTTTTTTGGTCGTCCGATGTGCCACGAGGACATATAATCGTTGGGTTGCGTAAATAAGACCTTAGATCTTTTATTGTATGACTGATCACCTGCTCCAATTCGTCGTGGTGGATGACTTATCGAATCTCCCAAAGCCGCACAAATTTTCTCTCCTTTTGACCTCTCGGTTCTTGTCGAATTCTCAAAGAAGAGATTTGTTGTTCTCCATGTTAATATCGTGTGGATCTCTTCTGATGGAGAATGAGGGACTCGGTGTATGTATAGTCTACAGCAGAGACCTTAAATATAAGCTCCCAAGTATAGGTCTAACTGTGGGTCAAGTTCACTCTGCTCATACTTGAATAATGTTAAATACCACAACAAAAATTTTATTGAACTCCCCATTTAGCTCAGAATTACAACTAATTCGTCTCCTGACTGTTTGTTCGATTTACAGCTCCATGTGTATGATATTACATCTGTTGATTAATTTAATTAATGACAATATAATAAAAATTATTGATACAGAATGAGTACCACTCAATCCTTTATTATTATGTCAAAAATTAATTTGTCGATCGGACTTGACATAATAATCCTTCTATATGTGGCCTGTTGGCCCATGTATATATCTTTCAACACATTGAACTCATCAACATGTCGTCGCGCGACTCTATTACACTCAGTAGCTTGGCCCGTCGGCCAAATATATATGTATTTCCCTGAAGGCCTGCCCAGTACTCGAAGGCCCTGTGACATGTATTTACAACCATAACGATAGCATGCGGTTAAAATGAATAAGTGAATAGAATATCCTCATCTCGAATTGTCGAATGCCAAAAATAAATGAACGTCAATGATCGTCTCACGAACTCGACTCCTTGAAATCTACATGATGAAATTATCTAACATAAATATAATGCATACATAATATTTTTTAAAAATTAATTTAATTACATGCGGCTCGAAGCTAGCCTAAGGTTCACAAAGAAATTGACTTATGGCTCGACGGATAAAAATTTAATCAAGGCTCGTCTTAAAAACTAATATTAGGCTTGGCAGACTTAAATTGGAAAAAGGGTCGCCGAGGGTCCATTGGATCGGGTTTGGCACGTGGTTGGTGGCTTGCAGCTGCACTGGGTAAGTTGTTGGGTCGCGCAGGTCGCGCCTGGGCCTATTGGCTGGTTCGCTGGGAGCGCTGGGGCACTAGGCGCGCATGCACAAACACTGGGACGCTGTGGGTGTTGGGCACGCACAGGGTCGCTGGGAGCGCACCGGGCGTGTCTAGGAGCGTTGGGAGCGTATTGGAAGCCGAGGGAGCATGCGGGTACGCTAGAGCACCGATGAGGGTCGCGCACGGGGCATCGCTGCGGGCAGCGTGTGGGTCTCGTGCGGCTGCGTCCATGAGCACTGCGCGGCTGCGACTGGAACTCGCCTATGAGCGGATCTGCATGCGGTTGGGCTGCGGTGGTTCAAGGCTGGTTTCAGCGGTTCAAGGCTGGCACGGTAGCTCGATGGCTGAGGGTTCGGGGGTTCGAGGACTCAAAATATATGGCTCGACTTAGGGTAACAATTTCATGAAAATTTTGGTTTGGCTTCCTTGAATTCAATCAAAAACTTGAAGAACAAGGTAAAATACACTTGGGAAGAAATAGAGGCTTACCTTGCCCAAAAAGGGAGAAATTCGACCTGATTAGGAGTGTTGCCTGGCTGAAGAAGATCTCGAATTAGGGCTACTCGTGGGTTGATGGATGGCTCGGCCTCAAGGATTGCTCGTGGTCACCATGAAGAATCTTGGTTGCTTGGGGCGAAGAGAAAATTTTTTAGAAGATAGAAAGAGAGAATTGATGGCCGATTGATGAATCTGATGGGGAGTTAATGAGATAGAGAAGGAGAGGATATAATTTCACTGTTTCCTTTCAAATCTCTCTTATATCTTTTCTTTTTGGGTGTTACTATTCACCGCCCCCCATATTACTAGTCACCACCCCCCTTGGACAATTTTGCCCTTCTCATTTTTTCTAAACATCTCAGAGGAAAGTGTACGGTGAAATGTCGTCAAATTCGGAGGTACGAAAAAATACGTGTCCGGCCGCCGGTTCCGGACAGCTTATAGACCGTCCGGAACCGGCGTCCGGACGGCTTAAAGACCATCCGGAACCGGCGGCCGGACGGCTTAAAGACCGTCCGAAAAGCATGGCCGGTCGGACCGGCCGTGTCCGAACCGGCCGGCCGGACGGCAAGAAAGCCGGCCGGAAACGACGGCCGGTCGGAACCGGCTCCGTCCGGTTCAGCCGGCCGGTCGGCAGTTTTTTTTTTAAAAAAAAAAATAAATTTATTATGTTATTTATTCGAAATAATTATGTTATAAATTGGACTATATTATTATGTTATAAATTATTATGTTACATTTTAGACTTGATTATGATATAAATTGGACGTTTATCGTGTTAGGAGTTACAAATTATTATGTTACATGTTGATTATAATATAAATTGGACGTTTAGATATTATCGTGTTACGAGTTAGAAATTATTACATTATATATTAGTTTTAGTTATGTTATAAATTGACGTTAGATAGTATCGTGTTAAGAATTACAAGTTATTGTGTTACATGTTTATTATAATATAAATTAGACGTTAGATATTATCGTGATCGTGTTAGGAGTTACAAATTATATTAATTGAACGTTAGATAATATCATGTTACGAGTTACAAATTATTATGTTACATCGTAGAATTAATTATCTTAATTTAACATGTTCTAAAAATAAAAATATTGTACTATATAGCAGGAGTCATGGGAAGATTTTGGAGGAGATGGTGTTGATTACAGTCTGCATTTCGATACATCTTCATTCTATAATAGTGCTCAGGAGGCTATTGAAGCTGCAAAACACCAGGCAATGCTGAATGGTTTCCTATTAATTATTTCGAGCCACAAAAAGAAAACGGTCAGACTTTTGAAGTGCCATAGAGGCGAACGGTACAGAGGCACAAGCGGAAATTTTAGAAGGACAAAAACGAATAAGTGCGGCTGCAATTTTGAGATCAAAGTAAAAAAAGTGTCCGGCTTTCCATACTGGAGGATCTGTAGATGTAGCAATGAAGAGAAAGGCTACCATAACCATGCATTTGCTGTGTATCCTGAGGGTCATAGCCAGTTGAGCGGTCTCAGCGCTTCATCTAAGAGAATTGTTCGTGACATGACGGACGCTCAGGTGGCCCCGAAAAAAATTATGGCCGCGCTGAAGGAAAAGAATCCGGGAGACAACGTTCATGTGCGCCAGGTATTGTAATAATTAATAAATTTTATTATATTTACTAATGTATTACTATTGTGATAGTTAATAATTTTTTTATCAAATTAATCGCATTAATATACTTTTTTATTTATTAATATAATAAAAAATTTTTGTTTTAAA